TGAAATTTTAATTAATATTTGTAAATTATCAAATAACCAGCTTTAATTTATTATTTATTTGTACCAAAAATTAAATCAGATAACCAACTCCTTAATAGTAAATGATGTTTCTGCTTATAAATCTCAAATCGAATTCCATCTGAATAAGATAAAGTAGAATCAGATTATGAGTATGGAAGTATGTTTATCTATAAAATTTACTTAAATGTGTTAGTGTAGGTAAAGAATCTCTTTTAATATCTTAATGAGTTAATTACAATTCTAATTCAGAAATCTAATAAAGTTTTTGGTTTTTGTTGACATTTCTAAACCTTAAGTAAATAATATTTTATAAATTTTTACATTCACTTTCTTGACTCTCATAATTCTTAAACGTATCGAATTTCTGCTGTTAGTCTTCCTTACCTTTGAAATTAACCAATTATTAAATGAGCTTTAGTAGAATTTTTCCAAATCTCCGCATCTATTGCATCTACATATTTCTAAAATCTATGTTAAATATAGCTTTATGTAGGAATTCTCTGTCTTCATAGTCTTAAATGTTCAGTTTTATTTTTCACAACTCTTCCTAAATATGCCTTGCGTCTTTGAGTTCCAATTCCACTTCTTCTATTTTCATAAAAGTCTATCCATAATCAAATATTATTGTTTGTGGATTTATCGCTAAATTCCAAGTGAATCAAAGTTGGAGATTATTACTCTTTAAATATTTAAATGACTTTGCTTATCAAGTTAGCTATCTACCGAAGAGATATTGGACTTTAATCACTCCTTTGTTAAAAAAATCTTCCAACTAATAAAGTTTTTATATCTAAGTTGTCCATCAATATCCTAATAAGGGTTTTCACGGCTGAGATGCCATCTTAATCCTCTTAGTGAGGTGATATTGATTAGAATTTGCCTTTTTAATTTTGACTCTCTAATTGACTTAAATGGATTTTTTACTAAATTGAAGAAATTTTAATAATAAATTATGCAATTTCCAAATTTATTAAATGTTCTGGTTTATTAAAATACAAATTTTGACTATAGAATGAAAGTAACATCATTTGGTTTAATAATAAAACAAGATTTTTGACATTGTTATTCTGTTAGATGCAACATGATGATAAATCTCAAAGGAAGAGGAAAGTGAACTGTATAGTTTGAAAGTTTGTTAAAGGAGGATCGAATACCAATTGTAGTTGAATAAATATTTTGTGTAAGTAAAAACTTTTTACAAGAATGAGGGAATAAATATAAATCAATTTCATTTATGCCCGCTTTTGCCTAGACCAAGAAAAATGGTCAAGACTATTAAATGATAAAGCTAAAAATTATTGGTCAAACTAAAAAGCAGATGTCATTCTCTTTAGTACTTATTCAATGTAATTCAACTGCTTGCTTTGGAGGTTTTCCTCTAATCATAGATGTATCTTAACATCTTAATAAGAAAGAAATCAAAACTTTTTCTGTTAGGTTTTGATGTAAATTCTGTGTGTATGTATAACTTGATCCTTTATGAATATAGAATAAAAAAAAAAACCAAATCATTAGCAGCACTGCCTCAACATCACCAAGAATCTTAAGTTAAAACTTCAGGAGCATTAATGTCTTACATAAATTCAATTTATGAACTTCAAGAATCGCAAAATATCATAGACCTTAATCAAAATCTTAGCTCATTCCAATTATCAAAATAAATATCTCGATTAAGTTAGTGAGTTTAGCATGTCTTCTATAACAATTAGGTCTCATTGACTTAGATCTTAGATAAGAAAATAACAAGAATAATTAAATTCTCTTCTGATACAAATATATAAGAATATAAATTACTTCCAATTGTAATTATTACTATCAAATAATTTAGATAGAAAATGATTGCTCATCTTTCACTTTAAATATTGCATCATTTATAGAGTACTCAATCATGTCTAATAACAAGCGTTGCCTCGACTTAGCCATCCTTCAAGGCGATTTGCTAAACATAATCATATTCCTCATCATAATTTTTCTTCAAAATATAAATTCAAAATCAAAATTAATTTTGTGTCTATATTGTAAAGTACCATAACAAATTGTTAATGTAAAATTTAAAGAAAAGATTTAATATCACGCGTCCGGCTATAATTATTTTCTGTGGTCCACCCCCC